AGTCTGAGCCTGTAAGGCCTGTGAGGCCTAATATGAGCCTGTGAGGTCTCTGAGGCCTAGTGCAAGCCTGTCAGGCCTTGGAGGACTTCAGGGCAGAAAGGTGGAGTGTGAGCTTGTAAGGCCTACTTTGAACCTGCGTCTCTTTGTAGGAGTCCTTTGAGGCCTAGTGTGAACTATGAGTCATGTGAGCTACGTTAAGCCTGTAAGTTCGGTGAGCTTGTGGAGCTGGGGTGTGTGTGTGTGTGTGTGGGGAACTAGTCTGAGTCTGGTGTGAACTGTGAGGCCTGTGAGCTTGTATGAATGCAGAGGCCAAGCATGAGCCCCTGGTGTGACCTGGAGAGACCTGTGAGCCCTAGTGTGAACTGCTGGGTCCCAGTGAGCCCACGAGGCCCGTTAACTCCAGTAGGATAGACTATGATCTTGTGAGGATTGGTTAATCGAAATAGGACATAGGCAATGAAGTCAAAAGGGACCAAATATTCTAGAATTTGGATTAGATGAGGGCCAGTGTGGCCTAACACAGTGAACATGATTCTTGGGTTTCATGCTGTTTGGAGATTCCCATGAACCCCGGTAAGGCTCACAAAGGCACGCCCAGGGCCTACCTACTCACCTTGGGCTGGATGAAGGTGATGAGGTCCCCGTGGAGAACGGGCTCTGTCAGGAAGCTGTAGGAACCGGCTGACTCGATGCCAATGCCGTAGGCCGCCACGATGGCCGAATGCGTGCCAAGTGAGAGGCCCACACAGAACTCATACAGGAAGCTACGGAGGGAAGTAGACGTCTTGGGGAGCTGCTTCAGTGCCAGGGGTGTTCCTGAGGTGGGGGCAGGTGCAACAGGGATGGATATCAGAGGCGGGAAAGAGTTTAGGGTCACTAGGACCGGCATTCTTTGTTATTATTTATTTTTATGTGCATTAGTGTTTTGCCTGCATGTATGTTTATGTGAGGGTGTCAGATCTTGGAGTCACAGACAGTTGTGAGCTGCCATGTGGGTGCTGGGATTTGACCCTGAGTCTTCTGGAAGAGCAGCCAGTGCTCTTAACCACTGAGCCATCTCATCAGAGGACTGTCTTTCCTCCTTTCTCTCTCTCTCTCTTTCTTTTTTTTTTAAAGACAAGGTTTCTCTGTAGCTTTGGAGGCTGTCCTGGCACTCGCTCTGGAGACCAGGCTGGCCTCGAACTCACAGACATCCCCCTGCCTCTGTCTCCCGAGTGCTGGGATTAAAGGCGTGCACCACCAATGCCCGGCCTCAGGAACCCTGGGAAGAGCAGCCAGTGCTCTTAACCTCTGAGCCATCTCTCCAGCCCTCAATCAATAAATCTTAAAAAAAAAAAAAAATCTACCTTGTGTCTCTGGCTTTTCCTTTTCTCTATGTCTTTCTTTCCTTCTTACTCCGTTGCTGGCTGTGTGGCTGGTGTTCTCTCTCTCACCCTTTTCCTCTCTCTCTTCTATTTATTCTCTCTGCCCACCAGCCCTGTCTCTCCTTCTCTCCTGCCCAGCTATTCACAGTTCAGCTCTTTATTAGATCAGTCAGGTGTGTTAGGCAGGCAAAGTAACACAGCTTCACTGAGTTAAACAAATGCAGCATAAAACAATGTAACACATCTTTACATCATCAAACAAATGTTCTACAGCATAAAAGAATGTAACACACCTTCAACTAATATCCCACAACAGCTGTGAGCTGCCATGTGAGTGCTGGGAATTGAACCCCGTGTCCTCTGCAAGAGGGGCCAGTGCTCTTCAAAGCTGAAGCACCTCCCCAACCCATAAAATAATAATATAATTATATATAATTTCTGGGGGAGATTGGTTCATCTTTCAGGTCTCAGAACAAATTCCACTGACCAAAGTGTACCGTCTGTTCTACTTGGCCTTCTGTTACTGTGATAAACAGCATGACCAAAGGCAACTTGGGAAAGCAAGAGTTTATTTTACCCTACAGGCTAGAGCTCTTCACTGAGTGAAACCAAGGCAGAAGCCTGAAGCAGAAAAAAACCTCGGCAATGTGCTGCTTACTATCTTCTTTACTGTCTGTTTCCCTGTGGCTTGCTCTGCTAATGCTTTTCTACAGCCCAGCCCTACTGGTCCAGGGATACACTACCCACAATAGACTCCTGCAACAATTAACCATCAAGGTTTCTCTGTATAATAGCTCGGGATGTCCTGTAACTTGCTTTGTAGATCTGGCTGACCTCAAACTCACAGAGATCCGTCTGCCTCTGCCTCCTGAGTGTTGGGACGTGTGTGTGTGTGTGTGTGTGTGTGTGTGTGTGTGTGTGTGTGAGTGTGTGTCTGTGTGTGTGTGTGAGTGTGTGTGAGTGTGTGTGTGAGTGTGTGTGAGTGACTGTGTGTATGTGAGTGTGTGTCTGTGTGTGTGTGAGTGTGTGAGTGTGAGCGTGTGTGTGTGTGTATGTCTGTGTGTGTGAGTGTGTGTGTGAGTGTGTGTGTGAGTGTGTGTGAGTGTGTGTGTGAGTGTGTGTGTGAGTGTGTGTGAGCATGTGTGTATGTGTGTGTGAGTGTCTGTGTGAGAGTGTGTGTGAGTGTGTGTGTGCGAGTGTGTGTGTGTGAGTGTGTGTGTGAGTGTATTGTGTGAGTGTGTGTGTGTGTGAGTATGTGTGTGTGAGTGTGTGTGTGTGCGAGTGTGTGTGTGTATGTGTGAGTGTGTTTATGAGTGTGTGTAGGTGGGTGTGTGGGTGTGTGTGGGTGTGTGTGGGTGTGTCGAGTGTGTGTGAGTGTGTGACTGTGTGTGTGTGTGTGAGTGTGTGTGACTGTGTGTGTGAG